CATAGGACAAAACGGATCTACTCAAACATCATAGGATAGCTATACATCATTGGGAAATAATATATAGCGTTGAGCACCGTGTTTAAGTAGAGATTACAGCGGGTAAGACAGAGTTTACACCGCTGCATAGAGGGGGAAGAGTTGGTGATGATGGCGGTGAAGTTGTTGGTGAAGATTGCAGTGATGATGATGGCCCCCGGTGGCACTCTAGTGCCACCAGAAGCGAGGGAGAGAGAGCCCCCCTCCATCTTCTTCTTCCTTGGCCTCCTCCCTAGATGGGAGAAGGGTTTCCCCTCTGGTCCTTGGTCTCCATGGCATGGGAGGGGCGAGAGCCCATCCGAGATTGGATTTGGTCAAATCTGGTCAAACTATGGTCAAAGTTTGGTCAAACTGTGGTCAAACTAGGGTCAAACTGTGGTCAAACTACTTATTCAAGAAATATTAGTGTTACTAAATAATTATTGTTTTTAGAACAATAGTTTCAAACTCAAACAGTGAAATGTGTGACTACATGCTCAAGCTAAATTTCTGAGGGTTAATAGGATTGACATCTTACTATTGTCACGAAAACAACAAGTGCAGACTTGGAAACGAGGGAGAATAGAACCCGGAAGTTAAGCGTGCTCAGGTGGAGTAGTGAGAGGATGGGTGACCGTTCGGGAAGTTAGATGATTTGGAATGATGAGGGGTGATTAGAGATTAAGGTTAAATTGAGCAGTGATGAGGGATGATTAGAGATTAGAGGTTAAAATAATTCAAAATTTTGAAAATAAAAAAAATTCAAAAAAAAAATCAAAAAAAATCATAAAATTTCCTTTAGTACCGGTTGGTGTTACCAACTGGGACTAAAGGTGGACCTCCAGGAAGCGGCCACGTGGATGGCCTTTAGTCCCGGTTCGTATAAGAACCGGGACTAAAGGGGGAGGCTTTAGTACCGACCCTTTAGTCCCGGTTCCAGAACCGGGACTAAAGGCCCTTATGAACCGGGACTAAAGGCCCTTTTTCTACTAGTGCAGTAGGAATGTCTTTCCTTTTCAGAGTAGGAGAGAAGGAAAAAGGGAAAGAGAGAGGGAGTAGGAAAAGGCAAGGGGGGCGCCACCCTTCCTCTAGTCCAATTTTTTGAACATCATAGTAATTATAAACACCCTTAGCATAAGAAGATACGTTTCCATTATCACTAAACAAACATTGGTAGGGAAGGTGTTTCTTAGGGTCTTCAGAACAACAAGTATAATCATATATTTCGCATAAATTCCAAGCATAACATTGCAAATGATGAATTTGATATAGTAAACGTTTCCCTTTTTCAGATATACGGTGTCGCACATAACAAGCATGCTCATCTAAGGATTTGCCCTCAACTAAGCTAGTTGGGGTTTCAGCATGAGCACATAGGGATAAAAGATGATCCAAGTAATAAGCTTCAGGAGTGTGATAGATTTTGAGTGGTTCTTCAACCATTGGTTCAGTTGGTACAACTAATTTTTTTTGGTATTTTGCATTTCCTACCCATAACTAAAGATAGAAAACAACTAAGAACAACAAATAAAAATTACTTAGTGATAAAGCAAACAAGCACACACATGAGAATATTCACCCCATGCTATGGCTCCCCGGCAACGGCGCCAGAAAAAGGTCTTGATAACCCACAAGTATAGGCGATCAATTGCAGCCTCTTTCGATAAGCATCCTCATCGCTGTCGTGCACTTCTGGATTGAGGTGAATCCAAGTTTTCCGGTGCAATCCTTCTTGCACTTGAAGTAGCTATCGAACTACCGGATGGAATTCACAATCCTGAGGAAAAGCTTTCGGCTCATCCGATAACGGCGCCGAAATACTTTGTCGCCGTGCAGTGGAGCGTCGGCGAAGTAGTCGGAGTAGAGCATGCAGTAGCCTTCCAGACGATGTCGGTTCTTTGCTTTCATCCGCCCCGGCGCCGAGCCACCTCGCCGCGGCTTTTCATTGCTCATGAGCAGGCCGGCTAGGGCGGCGAGGACCTTGAGATGCTCCTCCTCCCAGACGTCGGCTTCGGCTTCCTCCTCCAGTAGCGCGTCTAGCGCCTCCTCGTTGTCCGAGTCCATCGCCGAGCAGGCAAATCGCCGAACACCTTGCGGGCGCGGTGGGTGCACACTGCCGGTACACCTTCCTTTGCGGCCGGAACGCCAGAAAAATCGCCCGGACGGTGGTGGAAAGGATGCCGCAGCGAAACTTCCTCTCTTTTCCGACGGGGATTGACCTATCTTGTGG